TTAAGGGTTTTTTTTTTTTAAAGAGTAAAATTTTAAAAGCTCAAGCCAGGGGCCGGGGATTTAGCTCAGTGGTGCCACTGCCTGCCTCACAAGCATGAGGTCCCAAGCTCAATCCCCATATCAAAAATAGATAAATAAAGTGTTTTTTAAAAAGTTCAAGCCAGGCATGACAGCCACACCTGTAATCCCCACACTTGGAGGCTGAGGCAGGAGTATTGCTGCAAGTTCAAGGCCAATCTGAACTGCAAGAAATAAAGAAATGGGCTTGTTTGCATAATTGGCAGGGGGGCGACCCTTCACCCAGTACCAGACCTGTGCCTAGCCTTTCAAAGTTTCCAGTGCTAGCAAGTCCTTCAAATCTTTCTCTCTGTATACATTCAGTATTCTCAGAGCAACTTCCAAGGTGCCAGGATGTAACATCAGCACCACTATTAATTGTCAGGAAGGGCATTGTGCTCAGTGTGTCCCACACTGAATCTTTCCAGCGCTGCCCAGCAGTCACAGGGAAAGTATCAGGAAGTCCCTGACTTTATGGTTGTAGAAAAGCACAGCCATGCATGCCGTTTTTCACCTTCAGTCCAGCCTTCAATAAACCCCACAATTATAAAATAGGCTTTGGGTTGGACGATTCTGCCCACAGGCTAACACGAGTGTCTGGAGTGCATAGGAAACAAGCCAGGCCACCCTCTGAGGGGCACAGGCTAGGTGCACTCAGGGCATTTCCCACTTAGGGGGCTCCTGGGGGCGGGGCGTTGTTACCCCATTGTGCAGATAAGGAAACCAGGCACACAGACTTTGAGTAATTTGCCCATGCTTACAACAGCTGGAAAATGGCAAAGCCAGAACTTGAATTCAGGTCCATGTGGCTCCCAAGCCCCAGCTTTTTACCCCCTTTGGGTACTTGGCCCTTGCGGTGCCCATGCGTGCGAGGGAGACACTGACATGGACACGGATGAGCCACAAGCCCAACAAGAGTCGGCAGCGGAAGAGCAGCTGACCACAGAGGAGCGTTCTCTGCTGTCACCAGCCCTGCTGCAGCGACAGGTGTGTGCCCCCGACAAAAGGTACATGGAGAAGGAAAGGGAAAGTGCCAGCCTCCGCCCCAGTGGGCCATGGGTCACTTCAGCCGACTGCTACTCCTCTGAGATGAGCACACCCTGTTGGGTGCATCCCGGGAAAGGGACCCGGCCCACGCCTGGTGCGGCCCACGCCTGCTGGGCACTGGAAGGAGCAGGACGCACAGTGCAGGCCCAGCATCGATGAGGAAGGAGGGCTGCGCCGGCCCAAGGGGCAGCTGGCCTGGCTGTGGCACATCCACATTCGCATCTTAAAATAAACAGAAAATTCTGCTGAGTCGTGTCCTCCAAGACACAGCTGAGTTTGTGAGCAGCCGTGGACATGGGGGAAGGAAAACAAGGCTAGGGAACATCTCGTATCTTAACCCCTCTGCTCTCGAAAATGACTTCAACAAGGGAAACCACATGGGATCCAGTGGGACCGTGGGAGGGGGGTTGGTTGCGGGGGCCCCTTGGCCTGCTTGGCTCTCATGGGTGAGAAGCTGCACAACGCCACGGTGGTGATGGAGATTACGACACACAGGTTCACAAGTTCAAGTTTAGCCTGAGCAATTTGTTTGAAAAGAAAAAATGAAACCCAGTATGGAGGCACACACCTACAATCCCAGCACTCTGGGTGGGTGGAGCGCAGGAGGGTTACAGGTTCAAGCCCAGCCCGGAGAACTTAGTGACTTAGTGAAACCCTGTTTCAACATTGAAAAAAAAAGAAAAGAAACAAAAAGGAGTGGAGAGGCAGCTGAGTAGTAGAATGCCCCTGGGTTCAATCTCCAGTACCAGTACTGCAAAAAAGGAAAATGATACTAATAAATATGAGATGCTAGAAAAAGTGCTGCCACCACAAGTGTAGGCAAGGCAAGTGTGAGAGATGGAGGCAAAAGAATTGAAAATTAAGGATTCTGCAGGAATGTAGTTTCAAAGTACCAAAGTTCTCAGTCCGCTCTGAAGAATATATTTCAATTGAAAAATCACAGAATACACATGAACAGTAGTTAGTTTATGTAAGGACAGACCTGGGGAAATACCAGCCAACAATCCACACACAAAGGAAAAGCCTGACCCAAAAGTGGGCAATAATGTATATTTATACAGCTAAAGTTCAAATGAATTGATTGTTTCAACAGAGGAGTCCCTGGTTTTGCCAGATCCGCTATTTGTCTGCTATCAGCGTCGGCTAGAGGAGCTTCGTCCTATTATTAATACACTCTAAGTCGCATAGCGTGAGAACTGTGTACGTTTTGCTCATAAAAATAAGTCTAAAATACAACACTGACAGATGTTACAAAACAGACTAAAAGACTGTGTGCAGCCCTTTACACCTGACCTCTGATCAGCAAAAACAGGACACCATTAGCGTAAGTGATGTCTGAGGAGAAATGTAAAATTAGGCACCGGGGTCAGGGGGCAGAGCAACACAAGGGCCACAGCCCTGCAGGCACACAGCGGGCATGCGCAGAAGCCAGGACAAGCGGAGCCTGGCCCAGGGAGGCAGGAGCTTGCACAGGAGGACAGACAGCACAGGTGTGGAGGGCCGGACGGGGACTGTGTTGAGTAGCGGCCTTGCCTGTGTAGCTGGACGAGAGTTGAAATGAGGCTGGGGCGATACACTAGGACACGGTCACTGGCACAGGTTTGGCGGAGAGAAATCCAGCACCGAGTCTTGAAACAGGAGCCTGAGATGTCTTGTGGACACCCAAGCGAAGACAGTGAGTAGGCGATGGGATCCTGCCCTGTCCCCCAGTGAGCAAAATGACACAGTGAAACATGCCGCATGTTTGACACTGCTTTTTTCATTCCCTTTCCTTCAGTTTCGAGGGTAAGAGTCAAACATATTTCCATCCACGTAACTTCTTCCTTGGATTCACTGTTAACAGCAGTTGAGAGTCTTCTGGGGTTTGGTAAGACATCATCACACGGAATTCACAAACCTTTGTGCACCCCAAGTTCACAGGCTGCAATCCTAACTCCCATGGTGAGGGTGGGGATGTGGTCAGGGTGGCCTTCATGAAGGGGACTGGTGTCCTTATGAAGGGACCTAGGCGGGCTGCACCCTTGATGCCACACAGTGACACAGCCGGAAGGTAGGTCCACACCAGGCTGCTGCCCTGGATCCTCCAGCCTCTGGGGCACTGCAGTGAATGTCTGTAGGTTATGAGCCCCCTGGCCCGGCTTACAGCAGCCCAGACAGACTAAGACATTGGAGAGCAATTCACCGGCACGTCAGCGTCCCAACATTCCGGTCACTGCAGATGAAGCTCTTTCCAAGACAGGCCGCATTCCTGACTCACAAAACTCACAGTAAGTGGGAGAAGGTGACAAGTAGGTGTTGCAGAGTGGTGAGGGAGAAGGGGTCAGCAGAGGCAGAAAAGAGCCTTCTGCCAGGAAGGCACAGGCTGACAAGGTTCCAGATACGAACTCGGCATGTGCAAAGGCCCGAGGCGGAGGGAGGCAGCGCAGCTTGAAGAACCATGTGAAGAGGGCCACGCCTTGCTGCCACAGGAAGAGCAGCGTGGGGCTCACAAGTGTTCACAATTGGACGCACTGTCCCCTCACCGAGGGCTCAGACCAGCACAGACGAGATTCATGATACCTGGATTCTGTTCGTCTCCAGGCTGTGTGGAGATGAACTCAAGATGGAGCTAATCGTGTAGTTTCTCTGTGTTTTTGTTGTTCCCTGAAATATTTTTATAGAATCGAGTCTTTGGGAAGCAGTGAAACTATTACTTCACATCTCCAGCAGCCTCCGCTAGACCTGAGGGTCACCTCCAGGGAGACACACCCACCCGGGGTGGAGATACACTGATTCTGGGTCTGCCAAGGACACTCCCAACATGCGCATGGTTACCCATGTCTTCTCAAGGTAGGATCTGTAGCCAGACGTGGTGGCGCACACCTGTAATCCTCCCACATGGAAGGCTGAGGCAGGAGGATCAGCGGGACTTCAGTGCCAGCCTGGGCTGCACAGCAAGACCCTGTCTCAAAAAACATGTAATAAGGCCTGTGATCACACGGCGGCGTGCGCGCGAGCTCCCGGCCTGCGCGACAACAGACCAGGAAGGCCCCAAAGACCCCGGAGGGGGTTTCTTCAGCTGCCTGCCTGCCTGCCTGCCTGCGATCACCCGGCAGCGTGAGCTCCCGGCCTGCGCAACAACAGACCCAGGAAGGAAGGTAACCGCGCGGGCGCCCTTGAAACACCCACACGACACCACCACGCCCCCCCGTTCTCAAAACTCCTGATCGGGCCAGTCCTTAGACCAACTCTGCAGAGGCATAGGTTCCCATGAAGGGTAGTTTTCTGAGCTCCCAACTTTGAACATCTTTAAAGAAAGGGCAGGGGAAACTTGTAATAGAACTGAGTGGAGTTCCACCCTGAGGGTAAGGAAACTAAAG